AATCCAACAATAGAAGGCCATGACAACGAGGTGGGAGAGAAGAATGATGGACTTTACAATGACATTGATTGATCTATCGTCATAATATTTCTATTTCTTTATCTTTTGTGTTGTTCCTTATGTAGTGTCTCGACTTGTTTGGGAGTAAGGCGTAGTTATTGTCGTTTGTTGTTTTTTCTTACTTTGTTGCGCATCGTTTATTAGTTCATGTTATCGTACTTTTTGTTTTAATGGTATGTGGAAGTTATTATATATGTTGGAAAGATGTGCTAGTACTATTGAATCACATTTTCAATCGTATTTTATTTCTTTTCACATTATAAAATTCAGCTTTATTTGTTACAATGAATACTTTATTTCAAATTTAAATCTAAAAGAATGTTTATTATGTATTGTATACATTAAGTCGTTTGTGCAACAAAAAAAATACACATCAATGTATTGTATTTGAACATAGATTTGGTTGAAACTTGGAGGAAAAAAATTAAAGTTGTGTCGAAAATTAATTTTTGGAAGTTGAAGTTGTGTTTGAACATGTATTTTATTTGAAAAAAAATTGAAGTTTTGAAATATGGTTTCTGAAATTCTAGTTGATATTTGAAGGGGCATTTGCATATATACCCTCTTTTTGGGTCACGTTTTAACTTGTGCCCGCTTTGCAAAAAACGTTGCAAACGTACCTACTTTTTCACGTAACTTCAACATACGGGGCTGAAGTAGCAAAGGCAATCACGCAAAACTTCAGCATTCTAGTAAACGGGCCTGAAGTAGCAAAAATTGCTAAACCAAGTGTGCTGAAGTTTTTGTTTGTAATTGCTAAACTTAAGCATAGTAGCTAAAGTTTTGTTCTCTATTTGCTGAAGTTTTTGTTTGTAATTGCTGAACTTAAGCATTCTAGTAGCTGAAGTTTTGTTCTCTATTTGTTGAACTTCAACATGTTTTAGCTGAAGTTTTGTTTTATATTTGCTAAATTTCAGCATGTTTTATGCTATCATGTAATTGATTTTTTGTACAGATAATAAGTTTATCATAATTAGAATTAGTAACTTAAAAAAACTAGATAATGATTTAGCACAACAGGTTAAAATGCATTGATAATGTACAAAGCTGAATCCAAAAAAAAATAATAGAATGTGAATTAAAGGAAATGGACTTATATTTACATACATGTACGTACTTACTTTAGAAAATTATTATAATTTATTTTTAAATAATTTGATAAACATACTTATGGCAACATCATCCCCATGAACTGAAGTTTCATAGTAGCATCAACAGAGTTAAACTTTTTAAAAAAAGAGGGCTGAAGTTGTTTAAAAAGTAGGTACAAGTTAAAACTTTTTTATAAAAAAATGGGTATAGGTTAAATGGGGCGACCAAATAGGGCGCCCCGCAATTTTTACATATTTGAATTACCAATGAACTTGATGTTAGACAAGCTAAAGGTCTGTTAAAGCTATCTACTCTTAAAATGGCTAAAACTTAATGAAAGGAAGAAACAACTTGATCAACAACATCAAAATTCTGAACCTTCACCTCCTCCCCTAATAAGGGGCGGAGGAAGAGTAGAACCTATGAGTTCGGCCGAACCCAGTAGCTTTGGTCCAAACTAATATTTTTCTTAAAAAATTCATTAATATGTACAACAACAACAACCACCACCCAGTGAGTTTCCAAGAAGTGGGGTCTGGGGAGGGTAGAGTGTCCGCAGAGCTTACCCCTACCTCGGAGAGAAGGGAGGTTGTTTCCAAAAGACCCTCGGTTCAAGAACAAAGTATTAATTTAGAACCTAGTAACTTAAAAGATTTAAAATCCCGAACTCATAAGTTTCAAATCCGGACTCCACTTCTGCCTCTAATTTAAAGTCACCAACTGAGAATATTTTAGATCAAAGTAGCGATTTTCATGTTGGCACCCCATCAACAAGTTTAATGGAACAGGGGCACAGAGCCACAATACAAGTTACGTGCATCCAATAGCTTTGGGGCAAGCACCGTATTTGTATTAAAAAATACACTTAATATGTATAAATAATCTATCATGAATGCAGTAAGCAAAAAGAGTTGTAATTCAGAATCCATAAACCTAAAATCTTAGATCCACCGATAATGTGGAAGAATTGATCAAGGACCAATGATTTACAAAGACTGGCTGCTAATAGAAATGATCTGGGTTTGGCAATCACTATACATCAATCCCAAACTAGGTAAGGCTGACTATACGAATCCTCTATATCTATTTCATTCGGATCCATTATATTCCATTGCTTGTAGGTAATTTGTGTTCGTCTTTAAAACTTTAAAGGTAATCTAAATCTAGAGGGACATTAAAAAAAAAAATGAGCAAGGGACATTGCAATACAAACAAAACCAAAAGCATGTACATGGACTCACAAATAGAGTCGAGGAGCCTCTAAGAGTGTATCAAAATACATCAACTGTGCGGGATGTAACCCACCTATGCATAAAGAATTAGAATAATTTAAAATGCCACCACACAATCATGGGTGGGTNTCTGTAGGGCATGAATATAAATGGAGTAAGAAATTTAATTGGCACCCATGGAGCCACCTCTAAGAGTTGGTACAAGTGTTTTATAAGAATCAACATATGCAATAATCACGATGCTTGTATATCTCGTGAAGTCATGGATAACTCGTATACTTTACATCATAGCTTAGCAAACTATGCGAGCACCTAACAGTCCATAGCTACTTAAGCTCACACCATAAACTCATTGTATGGGCAAAAGACAGTCAACAACGGCTGAAAGTTGCCTAAAGCTCTAACCAAACTGTGCAAGCACCAGATGGTCCATAACCTGTTTATGATGCTAACGTAATTACATGCAATCATGCATTACGGATGTTGAAAACGCTTACAGCATTTGGACTAATCATACATGCATTATTAATGACTTACATGTCATAGAACTTATATGAAAGTTTATAGCAAATTTACCATCTCAAAATACATTTATTGTTTAGTTCCCATGCATATGCTCATTCCCACATAGACTTTCTCACCGATAATCATAGAAATCATCATTTAAAACACTTACCAAGCATATATCATGCATTTTCAAGCCCAGTTGTCTCCTACTAACCGAGTAACCATAACCCTAAATAGGAAGTCATTTATTTACAAGAGATTGAATACAACACCTCCTGATCCTAGGCTAAAGTAGATCACTTATTTACTATAGATCTATGTCTTAACCCTCGCACTAACCTTAGAGAACCGTTTTTGTACTAAAGCTTTGATGCAATATCTCCTAACTCTAACCCTAGAAAATCACTTAACAAACCGGATTAAATGCACCACCGCTTAACCCCCACCTAGAACCTAGAAATCCATGTATCTTACTAACCATAACTGTAGATGATGACTTAAATATCTTACTAGAACTTAAATGCACTTCCTCTAAACCGTAATCATAATCCTAGAAAGTATCTACAAAGAGCTCGAATGCACCGTCTTAAAACCATACTCTTAACTCGAATAATCACTTATGTACTAGAGTTCAAGCACAATATCCTGATCCTAATCTTATGCCTAGACAATCACTTATACTACTTATTTTCAAGAAGTGAAATATCGTTTTCTAGTTAAGTATCTCGATGTATTTATTTTACAGGAGGTGCGCAAGACTAGCAAGGAAACCTAACTTGTAGCCGACAAATCCGATACTCAACAAGTTTCGCATATCAGGGTCAATATAATGAAGTAAAATGTGCTTTTCCAGAAATGTGATGTCTTTAGTGATCTATTTACACTATCAGATAATTAATGCTTTCACAAATAATAGATCGTTAATGCTTACAAACATCACTATCTACTAGAGCTTGAATGTACCACCTCTTGACCCTAGCCTTAATCCTTGGCCATCACCTATCACTATTAATTTTCAAGAAGGAAAATGCTTTTTATAGATGTACAACCTCCAATATTTAATACTTTGAACATTGGTTTTCAGGAAAAACAAAAGAAAGAAAAGTACTCAAGATTCTTACTACTGGGGTCTTTGATAATGATTGCTTTCTTTCTTTCTTCTACATCTTTTTCTTTGGATTTAGCAGCAAGAGAATAAAATACTTCTTGTTTATTTGTATTAGACCTAAACAGAATGGGATGCATATAAAGAGTCTGTATAGTCGAGCCAACTAATTCGGAATTTAGTCCTTGTTCAACAATCAAATGGCAAGACGGAACGGTCAGTAATGGGGATTCATCAGTCTAATTTCACTAATGCTCACTTAACTTTTACTTTATTGCACAAAAGTTATTAAACTAATTTTGTAACGAAAAAGTCACTCATCTTTGTCTAAGTATCACAAGAGGTAATAAGTATTTCTTTTGTAACCAAAAAGACACTCATTTTTGCCTAAGTATCATAGAAATAATATTATGTCCACTATCACCATGTCATCGTTGTTTCCTTCTAGTGACTTTCTATAATACTTACGCAAAGTTGAGTGAGCATTTTTGTAGCAATTAGTGACTTTGTGTGATACTTGGATAAGGTTGAGTGACTTTTTCATTACAAAAATAGTTTGGTGACTATGGTGCAATAAAGAAGAAAGATGAGAGACCATCCATGAGATTATCCCAATTATCATCTATAGCTATGCGAATGGAGGAAGATTCAGCAAAAATAGGTCCAACTATAAATGACCCTCTTCACCACAACGACCATCCAACAAGCCCATGATTGGAATTAGTCACTTTCTATCAAAGTTTTAGAGCACAACAACTAATTGGTAAAGAACTATGATAGCTATTATCAGTTGATGTGCTATATTTTTTCCTTATCAAAAAACATATAGCAAAGCAACTGATAATAGTGAACATAGTTTTTTACCAATTATGTAAGCATTTATCGACCAAGTATAGAGTTGACACAACTACTAACATACATTATTTTCTTCTTTTAATGGAGGGAGAAAGAGGCTGCCAAACCTATTTATTTGATTAGAAATCTTTTATTTTAGTTATCCTACAACCGTTGAAAGTATCTTTCCATAAATATCTGATCTAAAAGTATACAAGTTTGTAGTTCAACGGCGAAATTTTTTTTGTGTGTGTAAAATATATAGATATACAAGGACACAACATGACAGGGAGCCATATATAAAGCTAGCATATACATATACCTTCCGGCAGGAATCTTTTCAACACTGATATTTAAATTAATGTCAGTTTTTAACCACCTTAATGCAAATTTATATTTTGTCTACAAGGAAAGTACCTGATCAGACCATTGATAACCAATTAGAATCCAGACTTCTCGACCCCAGAGGCTTTGGGGTACCCATCGTACTCCAGTCTAATGCTCAGCGTTGCACAAATAGCTTTAAATTTCAATCTCAAGGAGTCAGTAATCTCAGTGGCGGACTCGTTCTCTGGGTCTGAGAAGGGATACTTACAAAGCAATTCATCCATCTGTTTGATGCCTTTCTGCACTCGGGATGAGAAACAGGTTGGCTCTGCTGCGATTGCAGCAGTCCAAACATCAATACAACCTCTGTAAAACCCCAATTCTTCGCCTACTTCGAACCCAGTTTTGAGTCCCACCTGGTTGCCTTCATCTTTACCAGAGGCTAGGCCATCCGAATACCCTTGGGAGTAGCCTTCCTTGTAATGAGTGTCCTCTAGATTCAGTGACGAGTGAAAAATGTCTTCAACTGAATTAGCGCTTTGAGAACTCATGGATGCTCACCAAGCATGTCAAATGTTGGAATACTTTATTGGAGAAGAAAACCTGGAACAGTGAGATGTTAGTTGTTAAATACCACTTGAAATAAGGTAGTGGAATCCAAACTTGGCAAGACTGCCTAAAACCCTTTCTATTATAACAGAATCTGATAATCCAACATATTTTGGTTCAGCCAAATTTCCAGCAAATACAGTTTGGATTGTAAAAACGGCGTCACTTTCAAAGCAACAGAAAAGATAAATAATAAGTGCACAGAGATGCCCAAAGGCTGACTTAGCAAATACCACCAAATCATTATATACATTAGAACAATATTCACCATATATCATTATATACATTAGGCTGAAGGTCCATTTTTCAAAAGAGGCATTACAAATATGTGAAACAAAGAATTTCCATAGACACCAGGATTAGATTTTGGAGACAAAGATGGCAGGGGAGATGCCATATTCTGCTAGGAAAAGGAAGCAGTTGCTCAAATATATGGGGAGTAGGAAGGGGGACTTCTGCAGAAACAATATCAGAAGAAACTTGCAAGACCAGAAGATAATAGAATTTTATTGCCTGGTTTATCGGTTATGGTCTATATTGTGGAACAGGACTGGAGTTGAATGGGTAATGCCTGCCAATATTACAGAAATTATCTCATGATGGTAACTCATGAGGAAAGGACGAGTACGTAGAGCATTGGATGCAGGCACTTCAATGGACTACGTAAGAAGAGCCGAAGAGGGAAATCAATGACGTTTGAATTAAGAAATTTGTGTTCCTTGTAAATTTTTGGAGCACCTCTACACTGTGATAACTATTTCATAGAAGACTGGGTATCTTCTTAGAGGATCATGCTTTTACAAAACTTTTTCTACATCAATGCTTTCATATAATTTTTTTTCCTTTTGTATGCATCTCGTAGCTTTATCTTCAATTGCCACATCTTATCCATCAAGGAAATGACAAAAAAAAGAGTACGTTACTTCCTTTAATGTAATGAATATCTTCCTCTATAATCCTTTCAGCTGGCTAGATCTGGAGCTTATGTAAGTTAAAGTAATAGGTTACTAAGAGTAAATCGGTTATAAGACTCAAGGTTCAGTACCTGTGAATAACATGTCTATATTGCTCATCTTTTAACTTGGACGGCTGATTGTTCCAATGTTTCCTAAAATGTTGATCACTTTCAACTTTTTTCTATACTTAGCTATACTTTCTCCTGAATCCTGAGCACCTCAATAAATAGTTATTGATTCAGAATACCTATCTGTTGATAAGAACACAAAACTTTGGGACAAGACTAGAATGGAAAGAAAGATGCAAAAGATAAACTCCGTCAATTCCAACTTATACGGTATTTCTTTCATTTAGACATCTCAAAATTTTTGATACCATTCTAATCATAATAATATTCTAACTACTTTCAACTTTTGAGAATTAACATTCATTTAAGTACTACAATTTGAACTTCAATGTAATGTTTTGTCTACCAAACTAACTTTTCTACCATCATTTTCATATTTTCTTCCGGCTACTAACATAAAATATAAGTTTACGTCTTAAACTTTATATCGAGTCTGAAACCACTGTAGGGGACGTAGAGAGCAGAAACATCAAAATCCCTAAAACTAGTACAGAACTAATGGGAATTAGGAAAAAATAATTGAAAAGAAAGAGCAAAGCAGAGAAGAGTTTGAACATTCCTTTCAAATTTCAATATATAGAGAGTTGATTAACCTAGCAACTTATTGAAGTATGTCTAGTTGTGCATCACATGTGCACAGAATCTATAAAATGATAATGGTTGTATAGCATTCAAATGTAAAATGCAACTAGAAAATAAAGTAAAAAGTGGAGGAAAGACAATGGTGAATTAAAACATCACACGAGTTTCATCATAAAGTCCAATGTTATTAAAAGCCATCCCTTTGTTGCTTAAAGCGATAAAACCATGCAAAGCAAGGGGTTATCGCTTCATGGGTGAAGCCATGAAGCTTCATAAAAGTGTGCGCTTCAAACAATGATGCACAAAATGATCTAACGAGAAACAGCCGATTCTTTGAATTTCAACATTGAGGAGTTAGATTAATATCGGCATTACAGTTTATTCCACACCGAAAATTAGTTATTTTAATCGCCATTTTTTATCATTATATTACTTAATTCATGAATGTTCCCTACTTTTTTAATGTCGTGAATCGTGCACTTCATTTCTTGCTTTCCGCTTCAACCATGGAGCCAGTAGCAATTTTTCATTGTTCACATTTAAGAACACTATATCATAAAAAGGAACCACGATTAGTGCAAAAAGAACAAAATTATGTCAAAAACGTTTAAATTTGAGTCCTAAAATGGCCAAAGCTGATTCTAGGTTTGTATACTTCTAGTGTTCAATGCATCACTCAAAAAATAAAAAAATAAAAACTCTAGGACATGAACCACAATTGGACAAATAAAACTGAAAAATGTGCAGAAAGCAAAGCCAACATTCATTATTCAATAGTACCAACAGTAGCAAATTTTTACCGAAACAGTGAAGGCGATTGAATTTGGAAATATTGGTAGTACCAAAATTTATTGAACAATATCGGCACAAAATTATTAACTTTTCAAAAATCACTGAGGATTTTTCGGTTTCAAATACTAATGAGAGAGAGAGAGAGAGAGTAATTTACCAGTCGAATTCGCCGGAGGCCGAGGGTCGGACGAGAGAAGCTAAGCGTCAGATGAAGTCGAATCCCAAGTTCAAATGTCCAGGAGGTTAGGAAAAATTCCAGTTATAAGTCGCATTCGCCGATGCGATTTATAAGTCGTATTTTAACTGCGATCTATATAGGTCGCATTCGCTGCCCAATTACAAGTCCTCAAATGCGATTTATAATTTCGTTCAAATGTAAAAGAAGAGGGGGGTAAATTGGCTACAAAATCAATAATATATCGTAGTCATTGATATAGTTATTTCTGTCAAATTGAATTTATTAAATTTATCATTACAGGATTAGTTTAATGCTAGTTAAGCTTTAAACGAAGGTATTTAATGTTTCTTCTATATTATGTAGTTTATTTCTTACAAATAAACATGATAACTAATGAAAAATATCCCAAAAAAAAGTGACCACTCTCCTACTTCATGTTATTCTAATTTCTCTAATTATGGATGAGAAATACATTTTTTTTAAAAGATTCAAGATTTTCTTAGAAAAGTCAAAATTGTATAAAGACAAATTCAATAATATCAATATTTATAGTTTAATTCATCACTGAAATGGAATTTTCTTTTCAACTATCAAAATAAAAGGTATATGTAAACTTATTTGATAGTTTAAGATGTTAATTAATTTTTTATCCTTCGTAAATGCAGTGCATGCTTAATAAAATTGTAATTAGAAGTAACTTTTAAAAACGTCATTATTTCCTTGTACTTATTTCCTAACCTTTTAAATTTGTAATAAAGCTTCATCATTTCCTTATATAGTGACATTAATTCTACAGTAAATCTTATTTACAAGTTTCTAAATTTTTAATTTGTTATAAAATAAAGACTATAAAGTAAAGACAAGTATATAGAGAAACTGATATATTATTCGAATTCAAACTGAAGTACATAATGAACTGAAATCTCTTCTATTTATAGAAGAAAGGAAGCTGCTCCGTAAGCTGCTACTACAAGCTGCTGTGTAAGCTGCTACTACAAGCTGCAGTGTAATCTACTATAAGCTGCTGTGTAAGCTGCTACTACAAGCTGCTGTGTAAGCTGCTACAAGCTGTTGTGTAAGTTGCTGCTATACCAGATATGGATAATCTTCTACTGAGAGCAATATTTATCCATAACGGAGTACTGAATGGATAAGCTTATTATACCCGGTATGGATAATCTTTTACCGGGGGTAATGTTTATCCATAACTGGGTACTGAAAAGATAAGCCTATTATACCCGGTATGGATAAACTTATACTGGGGGTAATGTTTATCCATAACCGGGTACCGAAGTGATAAACTTCTTCAGGAAGCTTATTTCCAATATAGTACTAAATAGATAAACATATTTACGGTGGAGTCCCATATGGATAAGCTTCTTCAGGAAGCTTATTTACAACGGAGTACTAAATGAACATCCATAATATAATATATTTATAACACTCCCCCTTGGATGTTCATTAAAAGATCATGTGTCTCATTATAACCTCATTAGGAAAAACCACGTGGGAAAAAAAATTTTAGTGAAGGAAAAAGAGTACACATATTTAGTAATACGCATTGTTAGGTGCCTCATTAAAAA